AAAATTATTTTATCTTATTTTCTTCTCCTTGCCTGTGTTATATCTAAATAGTATCTTCTGCACTGTGGCATGGAGATAAACAGAAATGTTCTTGGGATCAGCATACTCTAACAAATCAGCTGCAGTGTGCCTGTTACCCTTCTTATCAAAAATTGTCCCTCCAATCTTCGTCCCATTTAAGTGATCATAAGTAAATTCATTATAAGGCAACACGCCTACTTCCAGCAACCCATCTCTCACTGCTGACTGCCACTGCAGCATAGGGGGCTCAAAAACCACTTTCTTTTCAACCCATTTATACGATTCCTCAGCCAAAGACTCATTCCAACCAGAAATCCTTATGTAGTCAGAGCTAGCCCTTGAATAGAAGCCTGCATTCAACACCGAGCCACCACCCAGAACACGAGCCCTGGCATTGAGGACCCCATCTGTGGATATGAACGGTTGGGAAAAAGATGAAGGGCTTATGTCAGCGAGGGAATTGACAAAGTTCTTTAGGTGGATTCGCTCTGGGTTTGTGTAAGGAGAACCTCCTCTTTCAAGGACTAAAACTCTTGCACCCTGTGAGAGAGTTGCTGCAAGGGGACACCCACTTGTTCCTCCACCAATGACAATGTAGTCATAAGACAAGAATGGTGGAGCAGATGTTGCTTCTCTTACAAATGCGTACTTTGAGGCTGCATGGACACAAGAAGATAAAAAAGAAATGAATGAGGTGAAAAGAGTTACAAAGAGACACTACAGCCATCAACCAAACCAACTAAACAAAAGAAACCTTCTTGTTCTCATTTTTTCTATTTTCAATTCTTTGATGAAAACAAACTAATAGTAAAACCCCTTTGTAACAACAATATGGGACCCCAAAAAAAAAATTGAAAAGGAAAAGTCGTACTTCACAGCAAAGCATTTACCTTTACCAGAATGAGATAAACCAGAAAGGAATATGCACTCAACAAGAAGTGCCCATATAAATTTATCCAACGTCCAACCCATTGATTGATGTGTATCTTCACTTGTTAGGAAAAGAGTTCTGAAACCCTTATTATAACCAGAAATTTAAAGTCACCACTACATGCACTACCCTTTGCTCTTGTCTGTTCAACTACATTCAAAGCTTGTCTCATTCCATACAAAGATCAAGTGTTCTTGAAATTGTCAAAATGCATGAAGCGTGACAGGGACATCGATTAGATCTTTTAAACTGTCCTATAAACTATACGTCAAAATAATTTGTGGTTAACCAGCCTACTTCATTGTTGTATCACAATCATAAAGAAAATCGTATACAACTCTCAAGATTAGAGAGGGATAAAAACACGACAAACGAAAGTATTTAGGATATCCATGAAACAACCTTTCTTGTAAATTAACCTACATTCTTTTTTCAAAGAATCTTATATTGTTATTTTAACACTGTAACAGTAAAATCCACGAGTCAACTAATCAACCTTAGATTTTATCTAGAGATGAACTTACTCCTTTTGAAATGCACAAGTAATTTATTTAAATTTTGTTTGACTAGAGTATATTGAAATGCAATATTTTAACATTTAATGGGTTAGTTTCATATGTATTTTGTAACAATAATGTATTTTTATTTTTTTGCATTCAAACAACATTTACAACAATAATGTAATCTAACATTTATTTTCTTTGAAGTCGTAAAATACACTATATGTTTTTATACTTTTTTTTTTGTCATGATCAGGGTAAGATATGTATATGAAGACATCTAGGACATTTGTGCCTAAATGTGTTGAGTCTGTATTATATCTGGCAACCGACCGACTGTGAGACAAACTAATCTGAAAGGTAAATATCATTAATAGCCAATTAATACGTTTAATGGTCATATTAAGGACGAATATACGGTATTTATGAGTGATTGGCAGGTTATATTTCCCCAAAATATCCTGAACTAATGGTTAATCGATGAACTTGGTTGCCATAAGTCATATAAATATACCATTGGTATCCAGGTACAAAGATATTTTTCGATCCTAATAAAATATAGACCTCTTTATGAAACATATCTGAAGCGTCGGAGTGTCTTCTGCATGTCAACAACTCATCAAAGTGGATAGCATATCTCAATACATCTTGACCACATATGCTTAGATGTCTCGGTCCTCGTATATGATCTCGCGTCATAATGGCTTGGCTAAATACATGTTGGCCAATCAAAATCGTTGACTGAGTTGATTAACTTAAGATCGTGATTAAGTAGATGAATTAACCAAAAACTAATTAAGGTAATTAGTCATTTGGGCCAGTTCCATTCAGGTAAAAAAATCCATAAACATGGTATAAATAGTAAAGTACATGAGGTACATTAATTATGTTAATTAATTACTGCATTTATTACCTTCTTACTTACTTAGTTGACTTGTGTCGAAGTGTCTTCTACAGGAACAAACCTTATTCAGCTTGAGGAGGACGAGTACCTTAAGGTCAAAGCTTGGAGTGTTCAGAGTTTGAGTATTTGTAGAGTATAATTGACATTGTAAGAACAATTGGTGCCCATTGTAGAGCTGGCATATATATACTTTGTGAAGAAAAGAGTTATATGGTTTCCACAAGGAGCAGGATGATTGGAGCAAAGGAAGTAGGTTTATGACTCTTCTTAGTTGACATAGCTGCGATGTTAGAAGCGCAAATGAAAATGCAACAAGATTTGTAGAGTTTAAGATGAGAAGTGTTGAAGAGATAATGCCTTAAGGCAAAAGAATGCCAAACTCAGAAGGGTCGAGGTTAAGCAGTAATTGGCAAAGGGAAGAAAAAGGAAATCCTTGAGAATGTAGGATCAGTGCAAAAGGTTGTATCATCCCACATCCACGTTGCCCATGAAGTATAAGGGAAAAGCAACTATAAAACTCGACGGGCAAAAGATAACTCCTCAACAAAAGGAGGAAATCATTGACATCCCTTTGTTGATGGCATCACGGATACCTTACTCCCTAAGCAATGGAAGACTTTGACACTAGATCGATATGATGGTAACATTGATCCAGATGAACATGCCATCATATATGTTACCCAAGTAAGTATGTATTTGATTGGTGATATTGTTATGTGCAAGGCCTATTGTACAATCTTGAAAGGAGCATCCTGAAGTGGTTTACCCGCTTACCCTTTTACTTCATCGGTTGCTTTACACCTTGACATCATCCTTCACACCATTGTTCACCAGTAGGCATTGTGTTTCAATTATACAAACCTCAACAAGGCTTGCTCAAAGAACGTCTACCGCTATCCAATATCGATCGACTGTTGGATGGAGCAATCAGTCGCAATGAGAGATGGCAAAAAAATCCGTGAGTACGGGTATCCGTGGCGGGTAGTTACTACCCGCGGGTAACGGGTAGTGAATATTTTAATACCCGCTTCTGAACGGGTTGGGTGCGGGTATTAAACTATCCGCCCCATGAGTACCGGTCTGCAACAAATAAAAGAAAATATTAATTTTTATTTTTTAAATTATTAATTAAAAATAAAATTAATTTATATTTTATTTGGTTAAATTTAATTAAAATTAAATTTTAATTTATATTTAATTTACTTTATATTATATTATATATATGTTTTTTGTAATTTTATTTAAAAAATATATAAATATTTTTTTTATTTTTTTTTATTATGTGCAAGTATTTTCTAAGTGGATACCCATGGATAATGGACGAGTTACGGATTAGATTTTTTTTCATAAGACAAGTTGCCGGTAAACACTATTTGTGTCTGATTCGATTCATTGTATCCATAGTCACATTGTATTGAGCTTTGTAGACATTTATGTAGGCTACAATCAAATTCCCATTGGAAACAAACGGAACATTATCTTTATAACATAAGATATCAACTATTATTATGAGTTCATAACTTTTGGTCTTAAAAACATAGGAACAATGTACCAAAACTTATTATGAATGAGCTATTCAAACACCTAATCAATAAACATTAAAGTATATGTAGACTAGTTTACAAACTGATAAATCACACTTGAAATCAATAAAGGACATGACCGATGGACTTACTCTTGATATTTTCGGTAAGTTGAAGAGCAATTGTGTCCAATCGGTGTCTAAGCTGGTTCAGTGTTTTTGTTAGCAAATCTATCTTATTATTAATTTAATAATGTTGAATTAGAATTAAATTCTAATACCGCGATATACCCCTACTAGTTTGGTAGCACCTATGAAGATCAACGTGTGATATCTAACCTACCCTTACATTTCCTTGTTACTCAACTCTCCCACTGCTTCATGAATTTCAAAGCATTGATGATATCCTCACTTCTCACCAAATCAATATTTTCTTCTGCCTCATTATATTAACCCAAAACTCTCTTCTGCCAAACCTATGGAATACTTACCCACGTTTTGCATTTAAAATTAAATATTTCCGATCATTGACTCTATATAATTAAATGTTCAAAGATTTTTAATCAAGCAGTTTAGAGTTTAAATTTTAATAATAGTTCCAACTTCACTTAATTTAAAAATTTTAGTTAAAATCTAACACGTGAAATTAAAAAAAAAAATGACTTTGTCAAACTGTCCCACTCTAGACCAAGTCCGCCAACCCCCTCATGACAGGCGCAAGTCGTCTCCCTGAGATGATCTCTGCGGTTGAAATTTCAACTGCGACTATCTCCGACGTACAAATATTTTGTATACATCAAATTAAAACAAGTTTAAACATTTGAAGCCTAAGCTACGAGATTAGGGTTGGGCATAACTAATTAAACTATATTAAATTATAATTAATTATATTTTTAATAAATTAAAAATAACTGAATTATTTAATATAATATGTAAATTATATTGTTTAAGAAAAGTGAATTTATATCAATTAACTAATAATTAAATCCTTCCAAGACTATCAATTTGACGTGTATAAGTTGATTTATTACAAGATTTTTTTTGTTTTTCTACTCAAAATTTTCACGTAGTTTTTATGATGGATATTTTATTTTGAGTTAAATATTGTTTTTTGGTTTTGTCTTTAAAATAAATTATATATTTTTAGACTTTATACAAATCATATAAAATATTATTTCTATCAAATGTTATGTGCAGAATATAATTTCTACATGTTATCTATTTAAGAAACTCATATTTAACATAAATCATTTATCAGAAGTTAATATCATTTCAAGAATAGATCTAATTGTTGGAAGTTTGTTTTATTTAAAACTTTACTCTTAGATCTCAGCAAAATACTTTAGATTTATTTCAAACCTTATTAAATAAATAAAATTTTTGTTGTAATAAATTTTATTTATTTTTGTTTTTCCTCTATGTTTTTATTTTTTTCCTTATTTTTCTTTCTTCAAAACTTGCGCCTAGCTCCCAGAACAAAAACATATTTAGTTTTAACTATCATACCATATAATACAATATATTCAAAATATTTATGGTCAAAAATAATTTCATATAAATTTTTATTTGTTAATAAAAATAGAAATAATAATTATGAGATTAAATAATAAATAATGGATAATGATTAAATAATCAATATTGAACAATTTATATTGTCATGTTAAAAATCTAAATGATTTGAAGCCAATAACTATCAAGAAAGTAAAACAGAGTGACTTTAAGCCTAATTCAATCTCACAAAACCGGCTTGTAAGGTGAGGTTTGCACCTCATTTATATATTATAATTTGGTCTTATCTCTAGTCGATGTGAGACTTCCAACACACCCTCTTCACGTCGAGGCTTGTAAGGTGAGGTTTGCACCTCATTTATATATTATAATTTGGTCTTATCTCTAGTCGATGTGAGACTTCCAACACACCCTCTTCACGTCGAGACATAGACATCTCGTGCGTGATAGTAGAAATTAATGGGTGGTTCAATAGCGGGTGGAACAATATGTCCAACAAACAACAAATATCGCTAGGATACGCTCTAACCATGGCTCTGATACCAGGTTAGAAGTGGACTTTAAGCCTAAAAGCCCATAAAACCGACTTGTAAGGTGAGGTTTGCACCTCACTTATATATTATAATTTGGTCTTATCTCTAATCTATGTGAGACTTTTAACACTAGATAAAAATTAGGTGGTCAGGTAATAATTCAAAATTATAATTATAGGAATTAAATAAAATATGTAAAATATGTACAATAAAATGTTATATCTCATTATTTGAGAGAGTGATGAAAAAATCCTTAATAAAATTCTCAAACAATTAACAAAACTAAAAATCTGATAAGTTCAGTTTTTTAAAATTGAACTAAAAAATAATATATTTATTTTTTAGTAATAATAGATTAGTTATTTTAATTATAATATAATATAAATAAGTATAATTTAGTTTAGATAAATTATTTTAGACCAACCTTATATGCGATTGCATAACCCAGTTATATCAAAACTGTAAAATATCCTGGAGATAATTTGACCGATATAGTTGGGTATACTTATATATTGTTTTCATTGTTTTAAGGATGTATAAGAGTGAGTGTAAAATGATGTAAATGAGGGGGATAGAGATAAGAGTTTAGTATATATTTTACGTTTATATTCATAATTAACATAGCATGATAACTTAAATATCATAATTATATTTTTAATCTAATGAGTTTGTGCAAATCGAGTTATTCTGGCCCATCTAAAAATAATATCTTTTTTAAGAGTCGACGAAGAGTATTTTATATAATTATTTGACCCAAAAACCTTTCGTTTTTACAAAATTGTGGCGGACTTAAAATCTAAATAAAATAAGCGGCGAAAGAAGTTCAAGAATTAAAAATCAAACTCCATCTACTTTAATTAAATCAGTGCATTTTTCATTATTTGCGTTCTACATACAATCAATTGAATGACAGAGAAAAGTATTAGAGATGAATTAAGTTTTTCTTTTCATTTTTTAATTTATATTGGATAATAATCACTACAAATATGTGTTAAAAAAGCAAGATAAAAATGTGTAGTGAATTTTAACACCCAATTAACTAAACTATTTAAAGAAATAATAATTATAATAATGATAATATATATATATATATATATATATGTATATATATATATATATATATATATATAATTTGTTAATGGTTCCAAAACAATATATATAATAAAAAGTTTTTCTAACTTTATTTCATATTCTTTTTATTTATGGAGTTACATGTTACCTCAGTGATTCACCAAAAAAATAAGTTTAGTTATGGATAGAATTTTATTGACTGAAAAAAAAATTGTGAGTAAAAGAGTATTGTAAGACCTCGCACCCCCTCCCTTCACCCGTTCTTCTTTTTGTTTTCTTTTTCTCCTTCTCTCACTATAATTATTTCTCTTCTCTCTAAATTTTTACCTTCAATTGCACTTCACATTAGCTACATTACCTAAGGAGACATGGAGTATTTTTCTTCGATCAAATTTCAAATACAACAAATTTTTAGTAGATTTATTCTTCTTTTACTTTTTATATGATTTTGTCATCAATTTTAATGAACTTAATTGAGAACAAGTTGTTATCTCAGTTGGTTTTACTAGATACTAAAATTTGTTATATTTAGATACTTATAACTTCAAACTTTTGGAAAGCTTTATTGCTTGGAGTTTTGAATTTATGCTTGCTATTTATATTTTTTTGTGTAATTATAAGATAGATGGTTTGAATGTGAAAGTGACTTATATGCAAGAATTGTGATTGATTAAAAAATTGTTTGAATTCTTAAATTGTAATACTCTTGAGCTTTGTTTGATAAATGCTTGTTTATCAAATTTTGAATTAGATGCTCTTTGTTGATATGTTGATTTAGTTACTGGATCATGATATGTTGACTTAGTTACTGGATCATACATGTTATAATTTATTTGAATTGAGTTTTTGAATATGCTTTAAATAAGTAAAATACATTTCTATATTTTTCTTTATGAACTTGAAGTGAATGTATGTATACTTAAATTACGAAATCAAGAATAATGTTTGAACAAATCATGTTTTGAATTAATCATTTGATTTATTTAAAAGTAACATAATTGAAATGTTGTTGCAATTATTTTTGGAACAAATTTGATTTTGTTGTAGGATTTTTTTTTTATATTTTTGTTTAAACAAAAATAGAAAAAGATCTAGACCTTACTCACTATTTTGTTTCTCTCAAGCAAAAATAAAATTAAAAATAACCTTATTTTTACATAATCGAAACATTACAACTCATCTTAATTTATGTTTAATTTTCATTTAAGAGCAAAAGTATTTTTGTTCAAGTAAAATATTTTTCCAAATAAACTTATGTTAAATATTATTATGAACTTTAACATCTTAATAGAAAATCAAATTCAAATTTCACGCTTTGCATGTACAATATAAAATACAATAATAAAGATTGAACTAAAATATTCAGTTAAAAATTTTCAAATTTATCAAGACTAAAAACTTAATTAAATCTTAAACTAACATATTTAGATGCATAGATAAATGAATCTCATTCTTAATTTAAAATAAAGACGAATGGTTTCAATCATATATACTTTTTTTTCTGCTAAGCATTTTCCAATTCCATATGACAAAAGAATAGCGATGGTGGCCTTATGTTAATATTAAATATTAATAAATAATTATGTCAGCATAGGAAATAACGTATTAAATTAATATTATACGATGATAATATATTTTTATTCGCTGTAGATTTATACTGTCAGTATTAATAATTCTGAGGCATTGTTTTTTATTCGACGTTACTCATTATTTTTAGCATAATTTCTATTTGTGTTAATGGTTTCAAGTCGATTACAAAGTGAGTCTGCATTTGAACGAAAAAAAGATAGAAGGCTAAGTAATCAAAATCATTCTATATTAAAATTTTGCAATAAGTAATATTAAATTTTTGCAATAAGTAATATAAAAGTCAACCTGTTATACTATATTTATATATACAAGGATATTAAAAAAAACAAAAAAAAACACTTAGTGTATATGAAACTTTGTGATTATCCAGTCACATATAAACTACACTGTCTATATATTTATTATTTATCCATATTTCAAATGGAGGATTGCTCTTTTACACGCAACTTTTTTTTTATCATATTTGCAAGAGTGCATTTTTCCTTTTTTTTTCCCTTTCCAACCCTAACTTTTGATGATGAAATTGTTGGAAGGAACACCCCTTTCCCATTCAAATGAAATGCAATAATGGTTATATCCCATTGTTTGGGTCGAGAATCTAAATTTTTCTACTACAGCCACGACGTATTCTCCAATGACCCATTCAAAGCCAATTAAATCTGTCTTAAAACCATACCTTAATAGTATCAAAAGGACTTCTCACCAATGCTTTAAAGACCAGAATGTTCTTCATTGACCGCTGATGGCTACGGAATTATTATTATTATTATTATTATTAGAACCCTTTTCAATCTATTTTCCGAAACTAATTAGCCACCTGTGTTATTGTTTATAGACTATACATTAATTTATATATCGATATTTCTCAAACCCATAAACTATATACCTAATTTACTGCATGCATTTGGAAAATTAATTTTAGCGTGTATGGATTGGAAATAATAGAAAAATAAGAATAAGTATAATGAGACAAAAGAAGAAAAATAAGAAAAATAATGAAGTCATTAATCAAATACAATTTATTATCGTGTTCTCGTTCAACCGCTCTAGGCACCCACTATGCTATTAGGAGGAGATGAAATCAACGACTCTTACAGGTGGCCAAAAAAAAATGAGGTTAAGTCTATAAACCCCCGATTAAGACCAAAGCTTTACGACACCATGATGACTAGTTGAGTCATCACAAAAAAAAAAGAAGTTAACTCAATCCCTACACGCCAAAACCCATGTCGTTGAACCCAACTTCCCCCAAGCCAAACGGCAAAGATACTACTTAGGCGTCATCATGATACTACCCAACCAATACACGTTACATTACATAACAACACTCTTGTGTACCTATATATATAGTCAAAGCTTTTTTATTCCGATTCATATTTCATCTGTTTTCACATACAACATACCATAAGATGGGTTCCTCTGCTGCCAGAAAAAACATTGCAGATTCAGCGTCCTGGTACTGTGCCATGATGCTGTTGGGCATGATTCTGTTGGGGTCTGTAAGGGAAAGCGTTGTGGCAGGAGAAGGTAAGGCTGTAAAAGGGAACAACCTCCGGGAAGGACCGTGTGATGAAATCTACGTTGTGGGAGAAGGAGAGACCCTGCACACAATCAGCGACAAGTGCAATGACCCGTTTATCGTGGAGCGGAACCCGCATATCCATGACCCGGATGACGTTTACCCTGGCCTTGTCATCCAAATCATCTCTACCCGTCAATCCTGATAAACTCTTCAAGAGCTGCCTCCACCTTATTCCATTGCAACAAGGTATTTTAGACACGGAATACGCTGCAAGTCATTTTGAAAGCCTTTTTTTTTCAAATATTAGATTTTTTTTCAGTATAAAAACCTGTCACAACCTCTTTTAATCTTCTGGTTCAAAGGCTCTGGATCTTCTTCATTGTATAGATATTTACTCAAAAAAAGAGGAAGGAGAAAAAAAATATATATTCATAATTAATGGTAGCTTAGTTTCCTACTTTTCTGTTTATAAGCTTTTGGGTTAATTTTATCTGTGGTGGCGACCAGGTCAGGTGTGACTTGTTTTATAACTACACGAGTACTTTGCTGATAGAAGAAAATAAAATAAATAAGGATACAAGTATTGGATAGCTTTATTTAGGTTGAATTTGTTCTAAGTCAAATTAATCTACCATCTTAAAAAATAAATAAAAAACACGTAACTTTAAATATAATATTAAATTAAAATTTATTTGTTTATATATTTATTACATATTATCTTAAGATTTCTAAAATTAGAAATTGTTTTTCTTTGGCTATTAAGAATATATTTATAATGGATTGCACGTATGTTTAGGAGCATTATGGTGTTTTAAGAATGTGATGGTATTATTGTGAATATATTTGATAACGATATTGATATATAGAATTTTAAAGAGAAATTATTTGTAATGATGAATTAGTGAATGCATATTGATATACAGTGGATCTGATTATACTTTAATAATTATTCACGCTAGTAAAAGTAGCGTAAAGTCCTAGCAAATGGACAATGTTTGGTCATAGGTGCGAAAAAAGTGGTAGGATAACAATTCCTTTGTTTGTAATTTGCAAAGGAGTCCTACATATATTTCACTAGGATAGACTCTAATTATGGCTCTGATACCATGTTAATAAGTGGGCTTTAAACCTAACTCAATCCCGCAAAACCGGCTTGTATCGTGAGGTTTGCACCCCCACTTATATATTATAGTCTGACCTTATCTCTAGTCGATGTGGGACTTTCCTACACACCACGCTTGAGATGTTTATACCTCGACGTGAAGGATAGTGCCGTCAAAATGGGTTAAAACCCGTGAGCCAACTTGGCTCACACGGGTTGAACCCGTGGTGGGTCTGGTTGGCTCACCAACCCACCTATTTTTTTAATTAAATTAAATTAATTATTCAAATCCTATTTTTTATTGAAATCAAATTAATTAAATTAATTATTCAAAATGCACAATTTTTACTTAGCAATAGAGCTTTTCGCCCTGCTGTCTTTCCAAAAGTTTTCCTCTGCAAATAAAACCCTAAGATTATAGATTGGATAATATTATAGATGGAGATAAAGAAAAAGATGCTTCAAGAGTGCATGATACTATGGATTTATTCATTCAGAACTCCAATTTAATAGATGGATAATATTATAGATTGGATAATTCAGGAATATATAATTTGTTTTATGTTTTTTTTAGACCTATCTACAAGCATGACAATTTTATCTCGTACTATATATTTTTGTTAACGGTTATATGTAGTTTCTTGGTCAAACGGTTGTGTATGTCTCATTAAATTAAATTGGCAAAATTTTATGTTTGATAGCTTAGAATATATATAACAATATATTTCTTTTATTTCATTTTCTTTTATATCAATTGGTCCAATTATTATTGTTTCAATTTGATGAATCAAAGTAACATGTAATAAGAATGTGAGAAGAAGAGGGTGAAAAAAAAGTTAATTAAGTGAGCCAATGAGCCAACCCGTTTAACCCACCAACCCGTGATGGGTCGGGTCGGGTTCAAATTTTTTTGGCTCGCTAATAAATGAGCCGGGTTGAGTTGGCTCAGTAAGTGACCAACCTGTGATGGGTCGACCGGGTTACCCGTTTTGACAGCTCTGATGAAGGGGGTGTGTTGGAAGTCCCACATTGACTACAGATAGGGCCAAATTATAATATATATAAAAGTGGAGTGCTAACTTCAACTTAGAAGTCAATTAAATTTGTGGGATTGAGTTAGGATTAAAATCACTTTATAATAATAAATACTACTGTAAGTGCATATTGAATTCATATGCCAAAAACATATATTTGAATAATTTAATATAATGTCAATCTTGTGTGAATAAATGTGTTACATGTTGTATTATATATATTTAGTTTATATATGACATTTTAGGTAAGTACTTTTGTCCGTTAGTTTATCTTGTAGTTTAGTTTGTGTTTTATTTATTTATTTTGTGTTTTAGTAGAAGACACTAATGAAACCAAATAGTTTTTTTTTTATTTCTAGTAATTTTAAAATTTTAAATTATCCTTAATTGTTATATATATATATATATATTACTTTTACAGATATTTATTTTTTAAAATAGTTGTATTAATTTCACATATATTTTAAAATAACCTATTTTATTTTATCAATTTTATAATATTTTATTCTATCAGTTATAAGCTATTATAAATAAATGTTAGATATACTATTTACAAACTTCAGATAATTGCTTTAATATATTTTTGTCAACATTTTGAGTGGGGAATTCACAAAACCACAGAAGATACAAATTGAAAAAACGGATAAAATATTTCAAGAAAATTAAAAGTTAAAATTCAATTGAATAAGTTTTCAGTGCATCCCGTTTCATGATTCTTTTATCCTTTTAACTCTTTTTTTGTTATTTTAATTTGGTTTCAAAAAGAGTTTCTATAATATTTTATTTAATTTTAAAATATTAAATGGTAAAATTTAATTTAATAAACAAGCCTTTTTTTTCAATTTTTTTTTTCAATTTAAATCATTTTCGTATCACATGTTCAAACTTTTCTCAATAATCATATATATTACTCTCTCACTCCAGCAGCCAAAAGAAACACACTTCAAAATAGTCATTATTCTTTTTTTTTAAGTTAACCGTCTAATATGACAAAAATGAAGTTCAATGTTTCTATCATAAAAAAAAAGATTTAATGCTAGTTTTTAAGATGGATGGAAATGGAAGTGATTTGAAAGTTAATTTGATGATAAAGATATAACCAAAATAAATAATTTTAGATCAAATAATAAAACTTTCTAAATAAATTATAAACACAAATAAACTATAATAATTATCGTGTCTAATTGTTAGCATTTCCTACCAATAGATAGGCTAATTATTAGTGAAACATATGTGATATACGTGTTAACATTTTTTTACGATAATAAAATAAAATAAAATAATTATTATAATAATTTTATTGTAAAAAGTTTTATTTATTTTGTAGATAATTTTCTAATTAAAAATTGTTAAATTAAGAAAAAAAATCAAATAAAAGAAAATAAAATGTAAAGAAACAATCACTTAGAAGAATGAAATTGAAAAAATAATTATTTTAATTTTAAAAAAAATATTTAGAGATTAAAATTGAAAAATAAATGTGAACACCAAAAAAACACTTTATAATATATATATATATATATATATATATATATATATAATAAACATTTTCTTTTCAATACAAGCATACATAATTTATTAATAAAAGAAAACAATATTACAAAATTTAATTCATGATTTGATCCTTAGTCTATCGTGGTTGAGATTGATCTTTTGCAACATCACTTATTATCATCTAACACATAATTATCACATTTTATAAACAACTTATAATGTTTAGTTTACTTAACATTTCATATGTTTTTGACACTTGGTATGAAATTGACATATTTATTGGTAAAACAAGCATATTTTACTTTAAATCACAAAATGAGAAGTAAAAAAATAAATAAAAAATTGAAGTGTTTGTGATATTTTTACAAGTATTTTTAATGAATTTAAGCATGTGACATTACGTCCCAAAGTTGACTTTTTAGCATAAAAAACATCTACTAATTTAAACTGAAAATAATGGAGAGACTTCATTTATTGAGTAATAGAATTTAACTTGGACAATATATTTTCAGATAAAAGAAAGTAAGACTTCATTTATGAGTAATAGAATTTAACTTGGACTATATATTTTCAGATAAAAGAAAGTAAGACTTCATTTATTGAGTAATAGAATTTAACTTGGACAAAATATTTTTCAGATAAAAGAAAGTAATCGTCTTTCTGATTTTGTCTTATAATTGTATTATTATTACATAAATGATTAATGAATAAGATAATTTGCTTTAGTGTGACAATAATTATCTAATGACATTGAAGAATTTATAAATTGTATAAGGAATATATATATATATATATATATATATATATATATATATTGATTGATTGTATTGTTCATTTATAATTGTTTTAATACTTGTTTTTCTATTAAGTTTTATTTATTCAATGAGTATCCATAATTTCATTATGATTTATATTTTCTTTCGTGTTTTATTTTATTTAGTTAGACATTATTAACATTATCTTTATTTATTTATCTTTATTATTAATAACAGATGGAATAAATTCAAGAATCAATAATTTTTTAAATTTTATACTATAACAAGTTACTCTTACCAACTACAATTTTGTTTATATTATCTTCATCTAATGAATAAATCCACATAAAGTTTAAACATGTGTTAATCGAGATGTGTAAAGGCATATAAAATTAATAAAAGGGTCTTTGGCCCTTATCTGGGGCAGTCAGACCCATCAGATTAAAGACACATGACCTTAGCAGGGGTCTTTCTCCTAAGTCACCTTTCCAATCTGCCAACTTTTTCTTCTCTCTCTAAAAACTCATCTTCTAAATATTGCTCTGCCTTCCCTCTAAAATACCACCCTGTTGAATCGTTCAATTTTTGAATAGGTGGTGTTCAAACGTTCACCGCGTCAAGAGCTTCGTAACCGACCGAACGGATTCTTGTTACAACCGGTAAGTCACTTTCTCCTTTTCTCTACCGTTTCTAGCACCTAGGGCATTGCTATTTTACTGAATGCATGCCACTAGAAGTGTTCTACTTCAAATTTGTGGTAACTGGTGTGTTATTGTGAGTTGTTTTAGGATGTTAATTTTTATTGGATAATTATAACTGAGACTATGGAATTGTGCTTAAATAATTTATGCTTTGGTGTTGAACTGATGCATGTGGCAATTATGTTTGTAAGTGTTTCTATTGAAATTAATCTGTTTTGGTTGAAATTGTTCTGGTTGGAGGGTTTGGAGTAAGGGCTATGTGATAGCATGTATATGGGCAGACACTGTTTAGGGTTACTGTGAGGGGAAGGGTGATATATATAATTGGGTATTTGATGTCTAGAACACTATAGGACAGTTTTAATAACTTAGATAATTAAATCATAACTTGTTAAAAGCCTTTCTTTGTTGCTAGGATAGAGAGGCTTAAAAACCTGAGTTGGCACATCCCTGATCATAGAGCAGCCCTG